CCTGTCCTCGATCGCTGTACTCAGTCTTAACCCAACTTTGATCAGATGCGATGCGAGAAAAGAGGCCTCACAGGACTCAGTCCTTTCATCCTCAACTTTTCTGTTCTACGTGGTCGATGCAGGGGCGTGTGTGTCGTATAGGATGTTTGCCAGTGTTCTAAGGGCTGGCCGCAGAGCAAACCCCCTGGTGAACGTACAGAGCAGGACTAAAACTGCGCCCATTGCGGTCTTCATCAGAGGATGAAACGGGACTCTTAGCAAACCGAACTTCTAGACTCGCTCCCCCAGGAGGTCGAATAATCACCGCCATTGTAGATTAACAGCCAGGCAGTGTCCTTACTACTCTAAAATTGCAGGCCATCACCCACAGCCCTCAACTGGCGTTTAATGGGCACGTTGCTATTGCCGATAGTTTAACTTCTGACCGTGTAAATGTGTGCTTACCTACGTGCGTGTCTCTGTAGGAGCGTGGAACAGAGGCTGTTACCATCAATGTTCTCGCATGGCGTAAATGACAAGGACTGATTTGACATCACTCCTGCCATCGCAATAATCGCATTTTGCACATTCTGGGTAGTGCAGTCATCAGTTCATAATTTTAGTGGTAATTTAGTCGTTTCAAAAATCACTTGGGTGCTCGTAACTCCTCAGCGTCATCTAGTACTCCGTATGCACCTGAAAGTATGAATCTCCGTGGACGTCTGCCACACCGTCCATCGGCATAACTTGTAAAAAATAGCTTAAATAGGTCTTCTCAGTGTTCCGTTCTTATCGCGTAGGCCTGGTTCCTAACCGTCATATTGATTGCATGTCTTCTCACTGTCATCTGAAGCAGACCCCGACCGAAGACTGGCCCAGCGATAGGGTTCTTTTTATTTATATACGCATATCCTATGCGGGGTGTCCTGAGCATTCACACAAGTAAATACGCCACCCTTGTAGTCGACCAGATATATTGTTTAAGAGGCATTTGCCAATCTAGTTAAACTTTCTGCATTTAGTTGACACCAGCAGCGAACATAACAGCTTGGCGGTTCTCGTACAAATATATTTTCTTCAGTTTCCTTTACGTCATCCTTGTCACGTGTTCTGTTCGTGTTGCAGGACATTTTACTGTGGTGTTGGGGCACACACTGGCCGAGTCACGGGCCATATTCGTCCCGCTCCGCCTAGTAGTCAGTAATGTAGCAGACTAATATTCCAGACAGAGATATGGAAAACAGGAACAGCCATCTGTCGCTTGTTAGCCGTCATCAGCCAGCCATACCCAACCATAGGTGTTGCAACGCCCGAGGCTCGAAAGCGCTGACCGGTGACCTACGAGATTTTATTGGGCAGATTTTATTGGGCATGTTAGCAGTGGTAGGACAAAGAGCCCGTGGCTCAGTGGCTAGGGCGTTGAACTTCTAGCCAAAGG